TTTTAAAAAAGAAAGAAAAAGAAAAAGCTAGCAGGCTACAATTGCTTGCTAGGATACAGTTTCTGATCATACAGTCAAGGAGAACATTATAGTCGATATAATATTCAGTTTTGTTATGCAGCAGCATATATGCTCATTCCAAACCAATAAGAATTACTTCATTGGTCAGTAAAATATAATCACCTGCGAAATAAGAAAGCACTAGCCAGGCAAGTTAGTGAAGAGAATTATTGTCCAAAATGAGAGACAGAGAGAGAGAGAGAATGTCTTTGGGCAGAATGCCATCTGCACAGAGCTGACAGAACCTTGGGGTTTATGGTGTCATCCACAACGTCCACATTAAAATTTATTTACTACACATAGTAAAATTTAATGGCTTCAAAAGAATGGCAGGCTGAGTTTCCTGGCTTTTTCGAGTAACAGTGGCGGGGGAGGGGGGAGGCTAGGCAGTGACACAGTGTCCTATGTAGAAAATGTTTATGTAAGGGAAAGCTGAAGATGAAAAGAAGCCTGTGTATGAGCAGTACCTTGTATGTATATTTTCACATGATCAGGGGAGCCAGTAATCATGTGATCTAGATCTAGACCAGTGATTCTCAACCTTAGGTAACCCAGGGGTTCTTGGACTTCAGCTCCCAGAAACATTGGCAAGCACAGCTTGTGGTGAAGGCTTATGGGAATTGCAGTCCAAGAACACCCGGGTTACCCAAAGTTGGGAACCACTGACAGACAAACAGAAGCTCTGTTCAGCCAATCTGCCTTTCATCAAATAAACATGCAAAGATGGCAGTGTGCTAACCAAGCTCCCTCCATCCTGCTTTGGTCTTATGAGAATGAGACTTGAGGTAAAGAGTCTCTTATAGGCATGGAGGTTGGCCACACAGCTGTGAACCCCGGTTTTCCAGATTTTTGGTTCACTCACTTGGAAGCCTTTGATGGGTAGGAACAGCTTTCCCCTGCACACTCATTGCTTTTGAGTAAGTTATAACAGAGGGACAGGGCTAGCATGCTCCCCTCCTCACATGTTTACATATTCCAAAAAGAGAACATCAGAACAAGGATGGATAGGTAAATAAAGAGGCAGGCAGAAATCCTATTGAATTGTTCACCTGAACATGGATAGGGCATGCCCCCAAACGGCATTGTGTCTGCAAGTATGTGCAGCCTTTATGCATTAAAAGATCTGCAGGGAACATTGGTAAGTCTTCTTCACTTCTCAGCTTTACCCACATCCAGGCAAACACCTATTTCACAAAATGACACTCCCACTGTGAAGAGGAAAGGGGATGGGCAGAGTTCAACAGTCTGCCACCAGTGCTATGATAGTCATTGTATAAACCAAAAGTTCTTTGCATTCACAAATCAAATCCAGATTGCATAAGCTGTTGTAAAAGGTGGGGAAGGGGATCTGTGATAAAATATTCCATTTTTAGTGCTGTATTTTTCCACAATATAAACATTTCTTGAGGAAAGACATCCAGATATAATGCAACTAGTGCTCAACAGCTGCCTCTTTCCTGTCCATCTTAGGTGATTTTGCAAGCCCTAACACTTAAAAATGAAGGCATAAATGGCATTATGATAAGACACTGGCACCTTCACCTGGAAGCTGAATTTTGCTCATTTAATAATTTCATGGTCAGTGGATCAGTTATTAAGCTGGGAAGGTCATGTGAGTTTTCTAATAAGAACTTTTGGAGAGTGATGTCTTAATCGTTTTAGCAGTGATAAACAAGCCATTAAGGATGCTTGTGAACCACCTGAAAGTAAATTACAGCCCATGTCACGGCCATGTTATCTGGTTACTGGAAGATTGGAATTAACATTTCAAGGATCTGAGCCTCGTCAGATTTAACATAATAAGACACATGAAGAACAAGCTTGGAGTGGTAACATTCCTGTTCGTTTAATGCAAATCCGGGGGGAGAAATTGTCACCAAAATTCTTCCCACTGCTGATGTCTCGGGGCAATATATTTATCCTGAGATGCTGATATTACCAAGAGGTAAAATATGGATCTACAGCATTATAAAAAATGTAATGCCCTCTCTCCTGGTGAGTGATTAGTTAGTAGAGTACCTTTTTAATAAAGTCTTCTGTTGCAATGTTATCTTTGTAATATTTGTCACATTCATCTTCATATACAAGGACAGCATATGTCCAGAGAGTGCAGATTCCTGAAGCAGGCAACCCAAGTATAAAACCTGTACCACACTGATTGTTCCAGCAAAGTAACAGACCCCCCCCAACTCACCAAAGGGGCTATATTTGTCATCCAGGTGGGAGTGGGAGTGTGGGTGTTGTGGCAGCTGCCATTTTGAAGGCTGTCAGCTGTTAGGCAGTGTGGCAGCACAGAGAATCCTAGGGCAACCAGTCAGGTGGGTCAGGGAGCAGTATATTCTCCTATAGATTGGATTATTTGAATCCGGACCATCTCTTGAAGTTTGAAAAGAAAAAGGCCAACTTGGAGTCACCATTAGGGTCTGATAGGTGCTTGACCTTCCCTGGCAGATTTCTTTTAAGGGAGTGGAGTGAAGACCTTAAGGGGCTCGGCTTGGGGTACCATGGGACTCTCTGCTCTAGGGGTGCTGGATGGGGGCACACAGTGGCAGATGCCTACATGATTTACCCCATTTTCCGGTTATAACATCAGTCGGCAGACCAGTTGGATGATATTGACCTGTCCTCCATCCTAGCGCCAGTACTAATAACAGTTGGTACCAATGAAGTTACTACCAAGTTACTAATAAAGTTATATATATATAAAAAAAGCAAAGTGTGCTGCTTATATACTGTCCCATAGCACTTAAAGCACTCTCTGGGAGGTTTACAAGTTAATTGTGCAGGCTACAATAAAGTGGCTTGTTTCACTTCTAATGCTTGTGTGTTTTAGTGTTTACTGTATTTCATAACTGCCTGGGATTGCGGCCTGCCAGTTTGGATGACAAACTCCAATTTTTAGCTTTCAGCTAAAATCTCTCAACTCTCTGCCCATGTCTGCCTTAAAGAGCATTTCCAGAAGGAGACCGCTTCACACTTGTAGTATTCCTTTCTCCTATATAAGCAGCACGCTTTGCTTTATATATATGTGACTTCTTCACATTTGTAGTATTCCTTTCTCCCTTATGGATTTCCCGTAGTACGTAGTACGAACGAAGACAAATGAAATAGGGGACAAACAAGGAAGGGCATTGCAGCCTGTGGCCCCACAAAATTAGTAAAGGAGACAGGGTGATAATGGCATGATAGAACCCTTACCCAAAGTCCAAACTCTTTTGTTCACTACCATTCACAAAATGACACCACACAAGGGAAAATCCTAGAAGCTGATTCCTTTTTTCATCAGTTAATCACTTCTCACCCAAAGACGAATCAATTGTCAGGGCTGGTTTTTGGCATGTGTAAACGACAGTGAGCACAAGAGGATATCCTGTAGACCGTCTTGACTGACTGCCGCCTTTGAAGTTGTCAACATTCAGGCTGCCCTTTACTATGCAAAACCTAGCACCATTTTTCCTGCTGGCAACGCACGAACTCCTAGAAGCTGATTCCTTTTTTCATCAGTTAATCACTTCTCACCCAAAGACGAATCAATTGTCAGGGCTGGGTTTTGACATGTGTAAACGACAGCACAAGAGGATATCCTCTAGACCATCTTGACTGACTGCCGCCTTTGAAGTTGTCAACATTCAGGCTGCCCTTTACTATGCAAAACCTAGCACCCTTTTTCCTGCTGGCAACGCAGGAACACTATTGTGCAGTAATATCAGGCCATTTCCTGGCATTTTGAATCATGGATGCAGGAAGCATATTATCCCACATTCATAAACTGGAGGGCAGTGGTTGTTTTTTGGTTGGTTGGTTGGTTTTAAGAATTGAATTTCCTGGGTCTTAAAATGAAGTTTAAGTATAAATGCACTACACAAACATTCCAAAAGAACTTTCATGCAAGATCATCAGCACTGGGACCTGAGAGACTGAGAGAAGGGCCTCCTGGAAGATCTTAAAAAGCAGATGGAGTGGTACCAGAACACAAAATTCTGGACAGCTTCTTTCAGGCCTTTCATGTATATGTGAAATAGTATGGGGGATCCTTTTAAAGGATTTGGAGCAGTAACATGAAGGTGAACAATTCATTTCAATGAGCCAGTATTTTTGTAGGGCAGGTATGGTTTTGATTATTTATCTAGATATGGTGGTCACCTCTTTTGAGAGTCTCTCTCATCAAGAGGACTGCACAATTTACTGGCCAGGTCCATACATGTTGGTAAGCCAAGCTGTTCTTTGTTGAATTCTTGGTTCTTGTTGCTTGTTGTTGTTGGTGTGCCCAGCCAGACAAATACGTCATTGTTTCCTAGCAAGCCTCAAACTGAAATAAGAAGCCATAGTTTAAAGCATGGCTCATTGCTATTGAACCCAGCTCTTTGGGACTGCAACAAATCATTGTCCCGGCTGCCCAACTGAAGTAGGAGCTGACAAAAGCTGTAGGAGAAATACAGGCCAGAAGTGCAGAGAACCAACTGGTTCCTTCTGGCATCTGCGGAAAAATTCATGGCTAAACCAACAATCCATGGCTAACATAAATTATGTCTTAGCCGGGGATGTGAACACAACTACTATAATATCCAAGAGCACTTAGGGTACAGAATACTGACCTAAGAGTGATCATCCCTTATGGGATACTGCAGAATGCCCCATTATTTATGTATTCTATGTTTAAGAAAGTGCAGACAATATTAGATAGTACTCTGTAATGCAAAGACGTTTGCGTGACCTGCCTACCTCCAAATCTATAACTACCGATTTTGCAATAGGAATACATCATAAGGCTAACAGTGAAGATCAATGCTGAGCCAAAATGTGTTCTGGTTATGGTATATCGCAGGCAGAGGGGGCTGAATGCAGAAATTTAGAGCTAACTGGGTGCCAACCCTTAGGTATTTCCTATCTGTCATCTAATAATAAACATATACAGTATTGGATGAGATGGTAAAGTGTTGCACAACTGTTTTTATTGAGAAAATAACTCCCCCACTGACCATGGCCTCTTGGAACTCTCCTTTCTATCTGAACCCAGAAAACATGGGGTCCTTCTTCACCTCAGGGTGTGAATGCAGAAACAGGAGTGATTGCAACCTGTGCACAAGACATTCCACTTGTTTATGTGACAGCTACCTTTCTTGTCATACCCACATCAACGAGTTACATTTGGGAGCTGATTCATCCCAAGTTTCTGGCCTTGAATGCTCGGAAGCTGTGCGTTGGGCTGGGGCAGTTTTATTAGTCTCTTTTGCCGTTGACCATTTATGCCCAGGCGCTGCCTATTTTCAGAGACAGAGGGATGTTTCTCACTCTGCGCATCAGCCAGGATGCGTTGTGCCCTTCTCTTAAGCAGCCTCTTTTTTGTCTGGAGAGGAATGTCATCTTCTTGGAAGGATAGAAGAGATTCTTTGTCCCTGTTTTGCAAAACACCCTTGAGATCTGCAGGTGTTCTCTGCCCACCGAGAATAAGCTCTTTGCCTCTGTCTGATAAGTCATTAACTTCGGTCTCTCCTTTACTGTGAACTTCACGCAGCCTCCCTTTCCTTCCCCTGGATTTGGTTCTGCTGCTGTACGACCAGTTTCTCCCAGCCTGGGACTTGCTCCTTTTGGAATATAGCTTTCTTGTCCGAATTTGGTTCTCCTTCCTCCCTTTGGGACTACAGCAAATCAAATCTGCTTCAGAATCTAGCACAACATCCTCAGAAAACTTATTCCTCATACCATTCAATTCCATTCCCTTCTCTGGTTGAGACTCCAAAGCAGATCCACATTTTTGACTGTTATCCTCCAGTTTCTCATCCTTCAACTCTTTCTTTCCAAGGGTTTTTTCATTTTTTGCAACGTGTGTGTTGGTTTCATTAGCCTGTCGATCTTGTTTCTCGACATGAGGTTCTCTGTTCCCACCTGGAGAGCTGTGTTCAGAAAGAATCTTGTGTTTTGTAGGAAATGCTTTACACCTCGGGTCTGTCTTTTTGTGCTCTGGCTTTTGTAACCCATCCAGCCTGCAATGCCCCTCCTCTGTCTTTGGTGGTCCTTTTTTTATTTTGGTATGTCCTTCACCTTGATCACTATTCCATTCACCTGTCCTGACAAATCCATGGTTACTCTTTTCTGGCAAGGGATGCCCCTCTTCTGCTTTGTATGCTTTCTTGTTTTTCTTGAGATGCCCTTCATCCATCCCACTGTTCTTCTCACCTGGCTTGGCAAACACAAAATATCCTTTATCTGTTTTGGAAAATTCCTCTCCTGGCTGTGATTGTCCCTTGTTTGTCCTTGAATGGCCCTCCTTGAGATCACATTTCCCTTCTCCTGACATGGAAAATCCAGGAAACCTTCCTCCAGACTTGGGGCAAGCTGTCTCTGACTTAAGGTGCTCCTCACTCACCTTGGATGCATCTGTCTTGCCATGCCTGGCATAAGCTTTAGAAAAAACCTTGCCTTCTTGGTGATGCCTTCCTTCAGCCCAGTCACGACACTCTTCTGCCCAGTCTCGCCATTTGTTTGCCCATTGTCGCCATCCGTCTGCCCACCGACGTCTTTCACATGTCCAAAAATGCAATTTATCTGGACAGCAGTGCCCCTTATCCAGTCTGTAGTCCCATTCACTTCCTGCTGGTCCATTGCTTTCTCTGTCATAAACAGGTATGCCTAGAAGAACCAGGGTATCTTAATCAACCTGAGCACTTTTCCAGCAACAGGATCATAGCAATAGTCCTAAGATCAGCGTTCACACTCACTTCATGCTCAGATTGGTAAAAGCAGCCCTAAGTCTTTCACTCAGCAATCAACACAGTGGACTTTCACTTAGCAATCAACACAGAACTGAATTGTTGTTCCACAATATCAGAACATGGTTTATGTTTGTGTTCTAGAAGGAGATCTGGCAAACAGACATAGATCCCCAGAATTCTTGTAGACTGAGGTTGACGCCTTGTGGCCCTCCAGATGTAGCTGGATTGCAAATCCCTTCAATTTTAGCCAGCATATTTAGTGGTGGGGAAATTGTAGAAGCTGCAGTTAACCAACATTTAGAGGGACACAAGTAGCTTACCCCTGTTGGAGACTCGCTGATCAAAAGGCAAAGCATTTTATTATTTCTTTGCCCATGAATGGGAGACAAAATACATTAATACCTAGCTTATACTATCCATGCTTGCTGCTGGAAATGCATCACACAACTCTCAGGCCAAAGGGATAAGATATGGAAATTATGTTTTCTCTTTGGCACTGTTTATTTTAGATTTGCATGTATTTGGAATATATTATGGTTATTTATTTGCTTGATGAGATGACCTGCTTATAATTGAGAAAAGGATAAAGAACAGCTTTCCTAATTGTCTTTGCCTGTTGAACTGTGCAGGGGCTGAATAGTCTAGTTCTGAAACAATACAAAATCCTGAGCCGGAGCTTTCTGGGTGTCTCTGTTTCCAGCAAGGTCATGGCTGCTTTCTGAAAACCAGACTCCTCTGAGATTGCACCACCATGCACACAGAGGGAAGTCATGAGGTCATAGCTCAACCCACTCCAATTTACCATTAACATGGATAGATACCGTCTTCCCGTCCTCTTCAACTTCCAGATATTTGCTTTCATTCTCAAGATGTCTGAAGGGAGAAAATGCCGTAAAAGAAGAGCAAAGTATCAGTTAGTCTAATTTTTTATAGCTGTGGTATTTACTCCCAGGGAGATATGCTGGCGGAATCCTCTGCCTTGTCAAAATGTCTTCGCCAGCTAAAGGTATTATGAATGTTTATGATTAGGCAGTGGCGTTTCCTGATCTGCAGGAGCTGGAAGTCTAACCACGTTGAGGGAAGACCATATAGCTAACCTTCTTCAGCCTGGAACCAAGAGAGCTGGAAGGCTCTCCTACCACTGTGCTAAGCCCACTCCAAAGCCCACTCCAAGGTCCTTCATGGGGACAGGGTGCTTGAGCCTCTGGTTAACCTGGAAATGGATCTGACCCAACGACCACAACACCTACCACAGTATACTCGTAAAATAAAATTTAGGTTGAGGGGGGGGAGAGAAAGATCAATTCAGATATGTCAGGCTTCAAAATGTAGTGCTGACTACTCCCACTTGGATTTTGAAAGCAAAGACATAGCTCACATCTACAAAAGCAGTTTTCATACAAAGCTTTCAGGCTCTAGTCAAACTGGCCGTGGTGAATGGGGCATTGTGGGAGCTACAGTCCCAACATGTACTTTATCCAAGCTCTCGGGAAAGATACCTCTCACACACAACATACAGAATCATACACACGCTTGCGCCTTCTGTTTATTCCATAATTCCTTTCAAGGGCAGAGCTTCCTCATTCCCCTTCAACAACTGTCAAGGTACATCTTTATAGAAATGCACCTTAGGTACTCAGAGGCACAGCTCTGTGTTGCTTAATTAATCTGTTGTGTTTGCATTTATCTCTCATGCTTTCATAGTTCAGCTCTCCCTAATACTCTCCTATAATAACACGCACCATTAACAGACTGCTGTCTAATGTCCTGCCTGAACAACTGCCTTTTTCTCTTTCTGCCTGATGATTTAGCATGCAACCAAAAATGAGCAGCATGTCCCTAAAAAAGTGAGGTGTTTTTTCCCTGGGGAGAACAAATAGAAGGAGTGTAGGGCAGCCTCATGGAGAATCACTGACACTTATGAGTGTGTCTCCTCCACTGATGTGTTGCTGGCTTCTGTCACATAGCCAAGAGGACAGAAGTAGCAGCCATTAAGGCCTGAAACATCTCGCAGCATCTGGACTGTAGGCATAAGGTAGAAAGCCTAGAAAAAAGTCCACCCCATCACCCACAACTTAAAGCTGTGCTGGATTCACACAGGCACATTTAACAATGACTGCAATCCTCAGTAAAGTGTTGGCACTCTGTTCTAGAACATTTTAAGAATATACTAGCAGTAGATAACCAATGGGCCAACACCAGATCCATAATGAGTGCATCACACTGTGACTAAAACAAGATTACGTACATACAAAATCCTCTTCCTCATTGCTCAATTAAAAGGGGGAAAATGTGTTCCTCTTGTGTGGTATGAAACTGCTATGCTCTGCTCTTACTAGAAGGAAGTATTTTTTATCAGAATTTCATGTCTGCAGAGCATGCCAGATAGGGAGGCTCCCTTATGTTCCATGCTGGTTCATAATAAACAATTTGATGGCCGAGAGATTCACAGCTTTAGGGAGGAGTGTTAAACCCTGGACTGTCCAGATGCTTTGGACTTCATCTCCCAGGAGTCCCTGGCAGCATGGCCGATGATAAGGGAACGCAGAAGCGGGAGTCCAAAACATCTGTAGAGATGTCCTATGGGAAGGGCCCATAGGAAGAGGCTGACCTTTGCCCCTTACCTTTTGGTTGTGATTTTTTTACCATTGATGAAGGCACTCATGATGGAAAAGTGATGGAATCTTTTAGGAGCACTGAAGAAGGACACCGAAAAATCTGAAACAAGGAAATGGGAATCACAGGCCTCACTGATGAGGTGCTTGAAAGCCATATGTTATATTCACCCCAGCCCTCTCTTTCTAGCTGGTACAGCCAATTTCTCTAGCAATAAAAAAAATTACAACTTAGACTAGGATTATCTGTTCTCACCTGAAGTCTTACAGAATTCTAAGGTTTCTTGGTTCTCCAGGTGAGGTGACAAATGTCAGGATGAAGGATATTGAAGGAGGAGAAAGTTTGACACTGACTTTAAAACCTTAGCATCCAACATCCTCCCAACATCCTCCCTACTCCAGGGCTTACTGAGTCTATGTGGAGCTGTTGTTATGTGTGTTTTGTGTACATAATATTTATTGGAAAAGTAGTACAGGAAACCCACATCATCTGCCTCACTCCCTCACGGACATACAATTGTTTGCAATTGTTACAGCAGAACCTGTCTCCTGAAAAATTATACGATCCCTATGGTGAAAATATTCATGTTTCTTTCATTTTGATTTTTTTTGAGAGGAGGTACTGTTGGTACCTCGACAGCATCTTAAAAAGCAGAGACATCACCTTGCCAACAAAAGTCTGCATAGTTAAAGCTATGGTTTTTCCTGTAGTGATGTATGGAAGTGAAAGCTGGAGCAGGAAGAAAGCTGACCACCGAAGAATGATACCATATGATACTCCAAAAAAGCAAAGAGGCAAGGCAAGAGAGAATCAATCTACTCCAAAAGCAGGCAACAGTATATAAGAAAAAGATACTCCAAAAAAGCAAAGAGGCAAGGCAACAGGGAATCAATTTACTCCAAAAGCAGGCAGAAGAAAAATCATTTTTAAAACTCCACCAAAATTTACTATATAGATAGCACACTAACCAAATAACAATTTGAAAAAAATCAAACAAACAGGGAAAGCATACCCTTGCCACAAAAATCAAACAAACAGGGAAAGCATACCCCTGTCACATATTTATTTATTATTTATTTACAATATTTTTATTTTGCCTTTTTCCTTCAAAAATGACCCAACACTGTTTACACTTAAAATATTTTTATTTTGCCTTTCTCCTTCAAAAATGATGCAACACTGTTTACATCATTAAAATACAGTATTTAAAGCTAACAATGGTAATTATATAAATACAAAAAGGATCAAACAAATACCATATTAAAAACCACAAGCAACATAGCAGTAAGGTACAACAATCCATTAAAAAAAACATTCAGGCAGTCAGTCTCTCAGGGAAAGTCTGCTTGAAGAAAAAGGTCTTCACCTGCTTGTGGAGGGACAGTAAAGATGGAGCCAGCCTAGCTTCCTGTAGGAAGGACTTCCAAAGTCTGGGAGCAGCAACAGACAAGGCCCTATCCTGTGTCTTCACTAAACATACCTCTGAAAGTGGTGGGACTAAGAGAAAAGCCTCTCCTGATGATCTTAACCTACATAGAGGGGAGGAGATAGCAAAACAAAGCAAAACCTCTCCCAAAAAGACAAGAAAAGAAATAGATAAAGGGGGGGAGCAGTCAAATCACCCCCAACCAATATTACTAGAATATAGGAAGATTTCTGTCAGTTAAGGGATCCAAGGCAGCTCACAATGTTAAAATCCTTGAAAACAGAAGAAATTACAGATTAAAAACCAATTAAACTACAATAGTAACTAACAATTCAGTAAGTGGTTGAAATAAATTACAACTTTAAAAGCAAACATCAGAAACCAAAAAACCCAGCATCCAGCCTGCTATAGGGCATTCTCTAACTTATTCAAATCCTTCAAACCAGAGTATGTAAAACAAAACAAAAAACCAAACAGAAACACTGTCTTGCTGACAGAAGTCGATTTACAGGTAAGTGAAAACAAGTATCTCCCTCATGTTAACATTGCAGATTATTTTAAGACATCAAAGCTAGTGGTCAGCAATAGGATTTACAGCAGAGTTGCAGATATGATTAGGATTACCTGAAGAGGAACGTTTCCCTGTGAAGAATATTTTGATGCCATCCTGATCAAACACTGACAGATGCTTCTCAGCTTCAGATCTCTCTACAGAGTGATAAAGAGAGACAATTATGACTTGTGTGTGCTGAAAGCACTGTGTAAGCAGGTTACTGTAAATACATGTCCATGAACTGGTCCTTCCTCAAGGTCTTGGGACACAAGTAGAAGACCAGTCTATGCATTCGTTGTTAACCAACCCACAAATATTTTAGTCCATGAACTGGTCCTTCCTCAAGGTCTTGTGACACAAGTAGACCAGTCAATGCATTCGTTGTTAACCAACCCACAAAAATTTTAATGCAATCACTTGACTTAGCTGACAGGTTGGAGCACTGCCCTCCTCACTCCTCCAAAGCACTCACTTGTCCCTTTGAAAGTGTCCCTGTTGCTTCCATCATAATGGCCACGTGTAGTTTCTGGAAAAGAAGCCAAAGCCAGTGGAGATGTAGGGTTGCTTCCTTATCTCTACCTGTAGTTTTAGACTCTTCCAATTTTATTGATGCTATTCTAACCACCATAAATCAGATCTATTAACCTGAAAGTCCCAAGTTCAAGCCATATTACAGCCATAAATACAACGGGCAACCCTTGGACAAATGACTTATTCTCTGAATTTTAGCTGCTTTACACACACACCATACATAAACATAGCAAAAACAAAAAAGAGCAAAGTGTGCTGCTTATATACTGCCCCATAGCGCTTCAAGCACTCTCTGGGTGGTTTACAAGTTAATTATGCAGGCTACACATTCTCCCCACCCACCCCCAGCAAGCTGGATACTCATTTTACTGACCTCAGAAGGATAGAAGGCTGACTGGGATTGAACCCAACAATGTGGGAAAGCTATGTTTTGGGCTTCAGCCATCCAGAATCCCTCAACCAGCATGAGCCACTGGGAGGCTGGAAGATTCAGGAGCCTGTAGCCCAAAAACTCTGACCCTTTCCAAGCCTACTCCATAGCTGTAACATGGGGATGTGACATCTGCTGCAGGGCAGTTGTGAGAACGAAGATATGTGAGATGTGTGAGAATTATGCAGACTCTGTCAGGCACCAGGGAAATGCAAAGCATTATTATACGATTCTGCTACATACTAGTGAGATGGGGAGATGTACAAATACAGAGCTACGGCAGCTCAACATTTCTTGTCAAATGTAGTTCCAGTTACAAATAGTTGCCCCAAAATGTCATGGTTATCTTTTCAAAATTAGTACTGTCAACATAGTAAAAGAGTACGTTTTCTTTGCTCTGTTAAACATAATTCAACATGATGAATTAAACATATGTCAGTGATTCTGAGAACAGTTTGAGCTTTTGCGTCAGGAGGGGAAAACAATAAAGGGAATGCATGGAAACAACTGGGCTGAAGTAACCCTTTTACTGATTTTGTGAAGAGGAAGGTGTCTGAAGCACATTTGGAGCAAACTGGTCTTTTTTGTATGGCCCTGTGTCAAGGCCTCAGGCAGCCTTTCCCAGCCTGGTGTCCTTTGGCTATTTTTTACTACAACCGCCATTGCTCCTAGCCAGCATGGCCAATGGTAATGAGTAACAGAGGCTACAATTAAAAAAACTGGATAGCATTAAGTGGCTAAGGCTAGCTTAAGGAGTGAAGTGTTGCTGGTTTTAATTACATTTCCAAGAGGGGGGAGAGCTTAAGGAGTGAAGTGTTGCTGGTTTTAACCAAGAAGGGGAGGGATGTGTTAGTTGGTCAGAGCAAAAGCAACAAGAGTTTTGTTAACCCTTAAGGGCTAAGAAGTTGCACCTGGCATGCTCTTTTGCAGGATGTTGCCCACTTCATTAGATGCATCTAATGAACTGGGCAGCAATCCATGTTAAGTCCATTTTATTAAGCCAAATAAAATGTCTTGATCTTTAAAGTGCCACAAGACTGTCTATTGTTTTTATGTATTCATTCACTTACTCACATTAACTGATACGGGGAAAAATTGCACTGCTATTCAGGGAAACTGAGACCATTGGAGTTTACAAAGTTTAATCACCATTAAGGATGTTTTGGAAAGTGCATTAATCAATCAAAACTAAATGACCAGAATCCTATTGGTCTGATACACTGGTGTTAATCAAAACTAAATGACCAGAATCCTATTGGCCTGATACAGTGCAATGATATAAGTTCCATGGACAGATTGCTGTTGTTTAAGAGCTCACCATTTATATTCCTCAACTGTTAGTGCATGTGGAGGGATTATAAATGACAATTCATTCAAGAGCTCACCATTTATATTCCTCAACTGTGTGAGTTAGTGCATGTGGAGTGATTATAAATGACAATTCATTAACTGCGAGTAATTCATTGCTGCCATTTATGGTACTGCACGTATGCTAGCATAACTCACTAATAGGATTCTGGCCAACGAGTGGAATCCTGTGGAATATCCTCTTGGAGACAAGAGAAAATGGGTTCCTTACCATCTGAAAGGACTTTATAGGCTTCCACAATCTCCTTGAACTTCTGTTCTGCTTCCTTCCTGTTTTCTGGATTTTTATCTGGGTGCCATCTGAGCACTTTACTCCTGTACCTATAAAGTTCCACAAGATGCAAGAAACCTTAGCAGCCATGAGCCACACGTGCTTATTAGAACTAAGTGACCATCTGCAATACAGTTATTGCAGCTGTTGCGTATTTTCTACATGGCAGCTATGAATCTTCCACAACGAGGCAATGCCCCACTCTTCCAGCACTTGAGACCGCTTTACACAGAACATGAAATGCATTGTGCACCATTAAAGGCCACTATTTTCTTCAGCCTCAAATCAGCATAAGTGGTTTCAGAGCAGATCATCAGAACCACTGTGCACAGGCGGGGCACCTTTAAAACTCCCCCCTCCCATTAGCCATTTTAAAAGCTCTCCCCATTAAAAAGAGAATGAAGACTTCTATGGGTAGAGATGCTATCAAGGGAAGAATCCTACTTTGTCAACCTTCCCCCCCCCCCATTTTAAAAGCTCTCCCCATTAAAAAGAGAAAGAATACTTCTATGGGCAGGGATGCTATCAAGGGAAGAATCCTACTTTGGCAAGCTCCTCCCCCCCTTGTTCCAGTCCAAAATGAGCAGCCTGAGGGAGAGCAAAGCTGCTCTGAAGTTCCCACTTGCTTCAATATCAGGCCCTGCTGGTGAATTTCAACAGAGAAGCAAAAACTGGCAGGGATTGGGTGGCTGGAGTTGTGTGAGGAAAGGCAGACAAGCTGAAGAAGGATTTAATCTTACGCTTTTTTAATATCATTCATGGAAGCACTTTGTGGAACATCCAAGATTTTGTAGTAATCCACCATGATGTCCATCCATCCAGGGCAAAGGTCAGCAGAGAAGGTGAGAAAGAGAGGCAATGAGATGTGAGTGATTTCTTTCTCTGAAAACAAAACAGGAGTGCACAAATCTTGAGTTGCCTTCAGATAACCAGAAACAGACTTTTGTTCATATATGGAAGATTTTTCACTCCTTTTAGGAGTTGACAACCATGTCCCCAGCTCCATAAGCTCTTCCACATTCATGTCACGCATTAATAGAAACATGTATTTCTTGCTTTTATGAAGCTTTCCCTCTAGCAAGGCAATTCTTTTAAAGTGCTTTCACTTTTGCAAATGAAGTTCCAGTTTAGCTTCCAATGACCATTCCCAAAGGCAGAATGTGGCAAGTTTCTGCTAGGACAATGAAACTTCATTTATCATTTCAAGGCACTTCATTTTTGTAATGATGTGCTAACTGTGACATCTTGACTGGGGCTCAGATATTTTCCCCTGCCCCCCATGATCCCGAATTTGCACTACTGTACAACATGGCATCTCTTCATAGCATCTAAAGGGAAAACATTTTGAAGTGACCCCCTGTTCAGCAGGCCGAGGCAAAGAGGCAGTCCAGAAAGCAGCAAAACCAGGGAGCTGGACAGGGGACAGATTGTATTTGTCTTCAGTGTGGAAGAGATTGTCACTCTTGAATTGGCCTTCTCAGCCATACTAGACGCTGTTCCAAGACCTACTGTACATTCAGAGCACATTACCATAGTCTCTCAAGACTGAAGGATGCTTACAGGTCTTTCTTCCTGGATACCCTTCAAAACTTTTTCTAAAAAGTTCAAAAATACATTTGCTTTCTTTCTTTAAAAAAATATTTAGCGAGCAAGCATCATGTAAGGCCAGAAATGTAGAATATATTTGGAATATATAAAGGTATATTTAAAAATTAAGAGTATATATTTCAAAATTCACAATCTCCTAATAAAAAATTCTGTAGTTCATATATGTAGATTTTATTTCTTCTCTATAAAATGTAGGTTTTACTAAATATGACTTATCTTCAGATAACATAAAGTATAAACTTAGTGATTCAAAGGCTGAAAATACTGTTTTCTTTAGTTAAAAAAGCTATCTTATGAAAAAGCTGTCAATTAGATAAACTCTTATACAAGCCACTTAAAAATTTCTATTGCAGTACATATTGTTTATAAAACAGAATTGAGCATGGCATAAGCAACAGTAAATAAATCACATCAAATTACATAATTCTCACCCCAGTCCAAGCTGAAATTTCTCCCCCTTGTTTTCAAAAACAAGGCTTTAACTGTATCCCTTGAGATGTTCCGTAAACGTGGTAGAAATCTCTTGTTTATATACCTTTTGATTTTACACTTAGCCAAAACATTATGACATGGGACACTCACTTTCCTGTGAGTAAGCAATGCCTTAATGTAGCAATCAGCAATTCTAAGTGGTGAGCTGGGGTAGCAATATGCTAGGTTAGCAGGGCTCTATAGTACAGTGGTCTCCAACCTTGGGCCTCCAGATGTTCTTGGACTACAACTCCCAGAAGCCTTCACCACCACCTCTGGTGGCCAGGATTTCTGGGAGTTGAAGTCCAAGAACACCTGGAGGCCCAAGGTTGGGGACCACTGCTATAGTAGACCCCTTCTTGGAGTACAAT